CCGCTCTCCAGCCACCTGGACGACTCACAAAGCTGTTTCTCTCTCCTCCCACGTTTAAAAACTGGATGATCCAAACTGAACTGCCAGGGCACAACAGGAGGAATCCAGTGGATCCATTCGTATTCTCCCTGCAGCAGATGGAAGATGGACTAACTTCTACTCTTGCGTTTGGGCAAACACGAGGCACCAATGCATTATTTATAACGCCGCGCCACATTTTATTCTGAAAGCGTGGAAGGCATCCCGGCCGCTCCAGTCATGTGAGGCCGACACACGCAGGGAGACGGGCAGAGGAGACGGAGGAACAGGGTGACGGTTGGAGCACACCTGCCTGCTGAGCGTGTCTGACGCCTCGCTTGCTGTCTGATTGGCCGCCCCGCTCTCTGGAGTTTGACTACCAGGCTGTTTCCTTTAAGTTCTCATGCTGCTCATTAAGCAGGGCTAGCTCCCTGCATGTGTGTGACTGTTAATGTGTCGAGGCGCCGTTTTGGGATTTGCACAAGCCTCCACCAAACGAAGCAGGCGTGGTGAGGCTCTGAGTGAGGATTAGCTGATGGACTTTTCAGACAAGACTCTCCAGCTGCGACCTCCTCGCTGGAGGATTAAAGAAAGAGAAAGGTTTCACCTACATGAGGAGACTCTCGGGGGACTCTCTGAAGGACGCAAACTGGGTTCAGCTGGACACGGACACGTCTAAAGCCCGGAGCCTTCGTAGATGCTGGGGGAAAAGAAACTTTGGAGTGACCAGATAAGCCAGAAAGCACAAACTGATCCATGAGCTTGTTTTATATTGATTTTTCTCAGCATCCAAGAATCTTGTCTGACCACTGCTGGAGAGGTCGCTAATCTAATCAGAATCCATCATTTGTGCCCCGCAGAGCAGGTGGAGTGGTGCGAGAACGAAGCAGGAAATCAATACAGCAGCATTTGTTTTGGTATCTGGGATGAGGCAGAGTATACAGATGTTGCACATGAGTTTGTCGTTCCGTTTCTGACCCTGTGTGTGTGTGTGTGTGTGTGTGTGTGTTCTGTTATCTTAGCTGCACAGCAAGGACTTACAGCTTCTGGGTGTCATGAGCACCAGTTCTGTGCCCTTTCAGTGAAGTTACGTTAGGAATTAGCTCCAAGCAAGGACTGATCCTTCACCAGATGACCAGAGCAGGAGAGTGTGCTGACGGGGGGCTCTCAGGGGGAAGCGTTATCTCAGCAGACACACACTCACCACAACCTGGAAAGCTGCGAGCGTAGCAGGTGGGAAGCAGGGAGTGGGAGTGAGGAGCCGTGGGATAGTTGCATTGTTTGGATGTTGTGAGTGTGGGGGGTGTAGCAGAGCTCCTCCGAAGAGGAAAGCTGCAGCTGAGCAAAACAAGTACAAGAGCACAAGAGCTCCGACTGGGAAAAAGACGCCTGAGACCGGCGCCGGGTGTACTGGTGAAGCACAATCGAGCAGGTTCCAGAACGTCAGGGAAACGCTGGCCTGGTGTCGGGTCTGCAGCAAGCACACAAGTTTGAGCAGAATCTCTGTCTGCCTGAAGCAGAAATCATCGCAGCGCTCTGGTTTTTACCGGACCTGTGCAGAGGAGACAGAGGGAAAGGGTGACAGTTGGAGCGCCCGGAGCCCAGAGGAGCCAATTAAACAGTTTTCCCTGCTCTGAGGAGGACTGGTGCTATCATCCACAGCCCCTGTGAATGAGGGTGGGGCTCTTCGACTGCCACAGACAAAGAAGACTAGCATCGGGGGTGGTTCCCAGCTGGACAAGAAGTCCAGCTCCTTGTTGGACGCCGCCATGGGCTGCAACATGTGTGTGGTTCAAAAGCCCGAGGACCAGTGCAGAGTGATGTTCCAGGTGAGCCCGCGGCCTCCTCTCGACCGTCTGACCGTGTTTTCTCTTCGGGGAAACCACAAGAGCGGATAGTAGAGCTGTTCAGAATAAACACAACATCCTTCCACTGGTGTGTGACACACACATCACTAAACCAGTAAAGGCAGATGAAAGATTTCACACAAGCAACCTCTTCCTGCCCAGCGTGTGTGTGTGTGTGTGTGTGTGTGTGTGTGTGTGTGTGTGTGTGTGTGTACCACCCACCACCACGTCAACAGGCGTGTTTTCACCTTTGTTTATTTGTCTGTAACTCGGTCCGTTTCACAGCTACGAGCCGGCCAGCACACACACTCTGAGTTCTAACAGATCAGGTGACTTTGAGTGACATCATTAAAATGTCTTTTTTTATTTAAATGTGACTAAAGCGGTGTTACAGGTGAGGTTCAGGTGCATTCAGCTTCAGGGGAAGCTGGGCCTTTAATTAAACACGAGAAGCCCGTGAGTTCGAAGCGAGTTTCCAGCTCAACACGTTTCTTATTTGGCACATTTTTAAAGAAACGCACGAATCGGCTCATTACTGCTCGAGCAGGACTCCTTGCTGCTGCTCTGAAACAGTCATCAGGTGACAATGATACTGATAATCATGATAATGATGCTTCACGGTGATTATGCGAGCT